TGTGTGTGTGTGTGTGTGGTGGGGGGTGTTGGGGATTGAACGTGGGTCCTCACAAATGCCAGACATGAATCGTATTTTCTTTCTTTCATGTTCAGATTATTCATTGCTTACAACATAGAAGTGCAATTGTCTCCCCCTTTTAAATAGACTTTACTTTTTATGTGGAGCTGAGGATTGAACCCAGGGCCCGCACGTGCTAGGCAAACACTCTACTGCTCAGCTACACTTCCAGCTCTAAATAGACCTTATTTGCAGCAGTTTTAGGTTCATAGGAAAATTGAACAGAATGTACAGAGATTTCCCATATATTCCTTACACACATGCAGCAGCCCCCACCAGGGTGGTACTTTGTTACAATCAATGAGCCCATCACAGTCGACAGTGACTGTCACTGTTGTCCAAAGTCAGCAGTTAATGTTAGCGCACTCTCTCCGTGTTTGTGCCCTGTGGGCTTGGGTACTTGTACATGACATGTATAATGATGTCTGTTCTCTAGTACCATGTCTTAAGGGGTGGTTCCACTGCCTTAGAAATCCTTTGTGCTCTGACTGTCTTGGTCCTTGCATCTCCCTTAGAAATGGGATCTTTCCTTTATTTTACTAATGAGAACATGGAGGCCTGGGCAGGTCAAGGCGTTCACCAGAGGTTTATAGCTGGTGCTTCCAGAGTGCAGAACCAGGCCTGATTTTAAATTTAGAGATCTTTCTAGACAGCTGCACTGTACTTTCCTTCTCTTCCTCCTCCCTCCCAGCTAACTTGCTCTTGAAACTTGGCTGAACTGAAATTCGTTTTCCTTTATTAGCATGACAGTTTTATGTATTTTGTGTGTCAGTCATTTCAATAACATGAGCATATACAGGTAATTTTATAAACAGTGGTCATGGACATGCATAGCAAGTGCATTATGAGAACAAAGATAGATCCCCCCTCCTTAGTGCCCCTGTGATTTATCTTTTGATAAGGAGAAGAAGAAAAAGGGTGACCGTTTAGTAAGTGGATTAGGTAGAGTGAGCAGGAAGAGGTATGGGTTGAATTCTAGCTGGAAAGAGGACTTTTAGGTCCCTTTTCTCCTCCTCTCCTGTTGGAAGGATCACAAGGGGGGAGGGGTTCCCATAGACATGGAACAGGAGCCAGGAAGCTTTCTTCACTTCCTCTAACTTCTTCAGGGTTGGACTTATTCTCCCCGACGGCTCTGTGTTAAGACCCCAGTGCAGTGATGGATAGTAGATCCACAGCTCTAAGCAAAGGATTGTGAGCTTTGGCCGCCTCCAGCCCTGCAGGGCCCACCTAGACTGCCTGCGTTCCATTCCTGGAGCTGGCTGCCTGTTGAGGACACCTGTCTTTCGGCGGTCTTGGAGGGGACCAACATGCTCACATCCTCTTAAGTGTCCAAAGGGGATATTTTCAGATTCATCCTTAGACTGCATGGAGTCTGTGGGCTGGGCTCTCCTTTACCCTGCAGATCTCTGAAATCTAAATGAAGGGCAACAAGAATGGGAAAAAAGATTAGACAGAGGTGGCTTTGCAGTGTTAGTTATTCTTTGCCCTGTTTTGCTTGAAGTGCTCCCCTTTTTGATGGCTTAGACTTGGGCTGTGGGTCTTGGGATGTCCAGGGCTCCTCTGTTCAGGCCTGAGGGCCTCTGCTCTGCCTCCTCCTGTCAGGATGTTTCCAGATGTAGAGACCAGCACAGGGCCTTTGCCGAGGCTTGGCTTCCACACTGGTGACTGTGATTTGTAGGCTGAAGTTGAACTTCAGTGCAGGCCAGCCATTTTGGGCAGTACTTGGGTTTGAATCCAGGGCCTCCTGCTTGCTAAGCAAGCACTCTACCACTCGAGCCATGCCCCCGGCCTGCTGTTGTTGTGAAGGTGTGCGTGAGGCAGTTGCTTGTTCTGTTGCTGTGTTTGTAGAGTGTAGGAAAGAGCTTGTTGTTGCTGTAGCCTTGGTGGATGTTGCATTGTGTAGAGCCACGCCCACACTTCTGGGTGAGCAAAGAAATATATAGACATCAACAGCATTCCTTTTGTTTAGTTCTTTCTTTTTTTTTGTTTTTGGTGGTACTGGGGTTTGAACTCAGGGCCTCATGCTTGCTACACAGGCGCTCTACCACTTTAGACACTCTGCCAGCCTCTTTTCTTTAATAAGTAGTTTTAATTGAGACATAATTTAAACACCCTGAAATTTACCTGTTTTGCATTTAGCATTGTTTGGAGTTTTGGGTTGTCACAAAAGAGGGGAGAGAGGGTACACTGAGTGGGTTGTGACCAGCCCCAAATATACACAGTGCCGCTGTTGAGAAACGTTGGACTGGAGGGTAGGTGGATTTGACTAGTGGAGAAATCTACACTGGTGTACTGGGGTTTTGATTGTAGTTAGCATGGAGCCTGTTGGGGAAAGGCCTTAGATACTAGCTGAGCTAAGAAGTGGGGCTGGCCAGGGGTTTCTTTTGGCACAGGGAGCTGCTAAAAGGCTTTTGGCAGGTGGATGGAATTCTACTGCAAGACTTTAAAAAGATGGAACTGGCACTGGCACTGGTGGGAGGATAGATTACAGCAGAACTCAGCTAACCATGGCCCATGTGCCAGACCCAGGTTCTGCCCTTGGCCAATTTGGTTTTCTCGTTTTTTTGTGGTACTGGGGGTTGAACTCAGGGCCTCACACTTGCAGGCAGACGCTTTACCCCTGGAGCCACACTCTGGTCCTCCTTGGCTAACTTTTTTTTCTTTTTTTTTTTGTTAGGACTGGGGTTTGAACTCAGGGCTTTCTTTGCACTTGCAAAGCAGGTTCTCTACCACTTGAGCCACATCTCCAGTCCTCCTTGGCTAATTTTTGCAAATAAAGTTTTATTGGTACATGGCCATACCCATTCATTTATGGATTGTCTGTGGCTGCTGTGACCATAATTTTATGGGTTACCTTGCTTAGGCCGTGATACCCAGATATGAAGAAGCATACCAGGATGTTGCTGTGAAGGTATTTTTTTTTTTTTTTAGCTGAGATTAACCCTTAAATCAGCTGATCTTGAGTAAACAGATGGCCCTCCATAATGTGGCTGGGCCTCAACCAGTCAGTTGAAGGCCTGAAGAAAAAGACTGAGTTCCCTGTAAGAGAAAGGAATACAAACCAGAAAGCCCATGTTGGTGCCATACAGTCAACTAGTCTATAGTCTGTACTCAGATTTCACTGATTTTTTCATAGGCTCACTTGTAAGTTACACTTTAGAGCCAAGCAGCAGCAGTAAAGTCTTTTGCAGTTTAAATGTGACATAAAAGGAACAGAGAGTATGTAGTAAAATAGAAGACCTGTCTTGGGTGGGGTGGCAGAGATGGTATCTGGAGTTGAAGCAGATGTGTGTGCCACTCATGCCGAGTTGGGGCATGCTCCTTTTTTTCATGCCCAAATAAAACGAACCATTTCCCTGTTCAGCTGTAGGTAGGTTGGTGAGGAGAGGTTAAAAAAAAAAAAAAACCCAAAACAAAAAACAAACCCTAAACACAACAAAGCCCAATTTACCGCAACCTGCAGTCATTTGGCCAGGATTCACTTATTTAAATATGTCCATATATTATTTAGTTTGCAAGTGAATGAAACAACCTTTTTCATCTAGCCATGGTTAGGCCTCCCTTTGGAATTCCTTCCTTCTCATCTGCCTGGCCTGTTTGCCAATTACTTCACTAGGAGATTCAAGACATAAACTCCTTTTGTCATAGATGGGTGGTGGGATGAGGTCTTTCACAGCTCCCTTGCTGCACGAGGGTAATGAGGTTGGAAGTAGCTGTGACTGTAAACACCCAGAGTTTTGTAACTCAGTGTGGGGGCAGAGCTGGCAGTACTTAATTTCAGCCATCAGTATCAGTGGTCAGTCAGGATTGATCTTTGAGCATCCCCCTCCAGAATTTTGGACCTGTGTTGGTGGAGAATTGAGTATTTTGAGTCTGGGGATTGAGAAACTCTTAGAAGTGAGGTGTGGAGTGAAATCGAGAAGTCACTGTGGCTCTAGAAACTGAAGCCTGGTTCAGTGGCTTGCACAGTGAGATTAGGATACGACTAAGAAGTCGTTTGTGAATGATATTCACACCCAAGGAACCTGACAGGCATTTACATAGGCTTTGGAGCCAAATTGAAAAGGGTTTGGTCTGTCTTTGGAGACCGAGGATTAGTGGATTCCTAGGTCTGGGGCCTGGAGTGGGTCTGGGGCACATGTTCTGAGTGGATTTTGCTTTTACACTTCAAGCGAGTGAATTGTGTGAGTGGTATACAAGGTGATTGACGTTTCTGTAAGCCTGTCTAAAAAGGGTTGGGTCCTCCACTTTTGTGCAGGCTTTGAAAATCTCTCTTGTGATCCAGTGCCAGCCAGCCTTTTCATGTGCTTGGACGCGGTGTAACTTCCTATGTGGAGATGGCCATCTCAAAGGGACAGAAAGTATCTTCCTGCCGGTTATCTCACATCACCACAATTGGGAACAAGGCATCCGCAATGAACAGCTAAATCAGGACTGGTATCAGAGGGAGGAAGAGGGGCAGGGGCATCTTTGAATTGTGTGCTTTTTCTCTTCTTCCCCCTTGGACTTCCTCCATCAGAGCAACACAAAAGTAAAGAAACCAAGAGGAAGAAGTGGCAGAGCTGAGTAAGTATGTTCTAGGGTGCTACAAGACACTCAGGACGGAAAAGGAAGCAAAAATCCAGCCTTTCTCAAAAAGGCCAACACAGAGGTAAAGATAGAACTAGCAATAGGCAGACACATGAACACTGATCTGAGTCGGGGAAAATGTTGATACCTTAACTTTATTGTCTCTGATGAAACGGACCTAGGCAATTTCCTTGCAGAGGGGTTAGGAGGAGTGCAAGGGAAATTTTGCAAGGCACGCAGTGCAC